AACATGATACAGCAGAAGGCGTAAAAGTAACAATAAATCTCAGCTAGGAGCAGCTGAAGTCCCAGCTGAAAACCAACTGTGTTCCAGTCAATAAACCAACTGAGATCAGCTGGAAGAGACAATCTGCAGCAATCGCGAAGCAGTTCACATGAACAGTGCATCCAGACAACAAGCAGCAGAAAAGCAACATGAGAACCCCCACAACAGCATTAAAGAAACAGATGTTGCCTGAAAAACCAGCAGGAACAAGGGAAACCAGCAGAGTCCTCCAAACTGAAAGCACCACATCACAGAGAGAACCAGTTGGAAAGAAAATCAGCTGACTAGAGCAAAACCAGCTAAACAGTCCAATGACCATAAACCATGGAAGCCTTAGCAAAAGCCCCATCATGTGAAATGGATCCATAATATAGGTAAAAAATCACAAAAATGACGCACTTTTTCCTTGGCGTTTTAACACCTTGTTGATCCTGCATCTGGATTAATTTAGCCCGGAGAGGAATCTTTAAATCAAGTGTGAAATCCGAAGAGGTACCCTCCAAAACAGCAAATCACAAATTCTCCAAAACTTCCAGGCCCTCATGTGCCCTTTCATTATCATTTGAACCATCATGGCCGAATCAGTTTCAATCTGAAGATTATAATTTAGAAGTCCATAACTTCTAAATAGCAATAAACCATCCTTGAGAGCATGCAACTCAGCTTCCGTGTTGGAACACACCTCGTAAAAAAAAGAAGCAGCCAGAACTATGTGCCCCAAGTCATTCCTTACCACAGCTCCGCCCCCAGCTCTTCCAGGATTTTCTTTCGATGCCCCATCCACATTTAGCTTTAAAATGCCCGAAGGAGGAAGGGACCAGTTTATGCAAATAATTTTTTGTTTCAGCTCATGCCTCAGCTCTACCTTTAATGCCCTCAAGAATTCCATACCAATCATGCCTTCCTTATCTTTAGGTCTAACGCCATAAGCCTGAAGACGCAGAGTGGAGCAGATATCTAGAAACACAGCATAGGCCGAGAGTGAGCTATCTTCATAGACCCTTCTGCATCGCTCCCTCCATAATCTCCAAATTACCACCAGTGGAACACCTCTTAACAAGTTCTGACTTACAGAGTGTTTTTTAAAAATTTTGATCAGTCTCATCATACAAACCAAAGGATTCAGCGGAGAAAACCTGAAAACCACGAAATGCAGCCAGTTTCCCCCAAACCTCTTTATCAAAGTTGCATTGTATGAACAGGTGAGAAGTAGATTCCACAGCCTTGTAACGTAGAGAACATCTGCTGGCCAAATCAACACCGACCCGTTGGAAGTTTGAGTCCTCTACTACTGCTTTCTGATATATCTTCCAGCCCAGCAGTTTTGCACTTGGGAAAACCGATTGGTTCCAGATCACAGAGGTCACAGGCACAGGGACACTCGAAGCTCTCACTGCCTCCCAAGCAGACTTGACATTGGACTCTCCCGAATCAGTTAATTTCCATATCAGTCGATCTTCTTTTTCGCTTAAACAAATCATAGAATTCTGTACTTCATGCTTTAACTGTTCAGATACCTGCACCCCCAAACTTTGCCACTGCCAGCACCCATCAGCCCATAACTCATCCAGGCATGGAAAACACGAGGGAGAAACGGCATACCTGAGCAGAAGAGGGCCAGATCCAGTCCAGTTCGAACACCAAAAGTCAACATTCTTCCCATTCCCCACCATGACCTGTGAGTTGGTCATAATCAAGCTAAAGAAAGGTTGCAGCATTCAAAATATACGCATTTTTCCAGTACCCGTGCATCGCATCAAGTGATTGCCTCTTAAGAATTTTTCTCTAAACATGTTTGCCCACAGAGAGTCGCCCTTAAGAATACCCCATGCCTGCTTCCAACGGTATGCCGTTTGGATATCTTCAAATTTACGAATCCCTAGGCCCCCCCTCTTGCTTGGGTCTTGTAATTACAGACCATGAAACCCAATGCCTTTTCCTCTCCCCCATCCTGCCTAGCCACATAAAGGAGGCCATGAGAGAATTCAACTTTGCCAGGATGCCTTTGGGCACGCTTAGACAAGCGAGCAAATGAATAGGAACAGAATTAAGGACTGATTTAATCAACACAATTCTGCCCATGTTTGAAAGTAAGCGTGCGTACCACCCTTCCATTTTGGCTTTGAATTTTAGGACCACATCCTCAAAATCCCGCAGTTTATATCTTCCTCTTATCATGGGGCATCCCAGGTAGACGAAGGGACATTGTTTTATTGGAATTTGAGCAATTCTGGATAGAGTCATTGTCCTGCCCCGAGGAATATTGGAGGAACATATGAAAGAGCTTTTATGTTTACTTATCCTCTGTCCAGAGCTATCCTTGTATCTTGCCAAAAACCTCATCAATCGTTCCATGGAAAGTTTATTACCCCTAAGAAACAGTAGAGTATCATCTGCAAAAAGCAGATGAGAGACAAGAAGTGCATTCCTCCCTGCATGAAAAGCCTTGATTCTGCCTTCACCATACAGCTTCAACAGTCCTCTACTTAAAACCTCCTCTGCCAGAATAAAGAGAGCCGGAGAAATTGGGTCACCTTGTCTCAGTCCTCTAGACGAAGGAAAGAAACCGAATCTTTTCCCATTCAAGCAGACCGAGAAAAATTGATTCTTTAAGCAGTTGCCAATGATAGAAATGAACAAGCTTGAAAAGCCAAAACAAGTCAAGGTTCTTTTCAAAAAATCCCACTCTATGCGATCGTACGCCTTTATCATATCCAGTTTAAGAATCACGTTGCCAGCCTCAACTTTCCTATCAAGCTCTACCACCATTAACTGAGCTAAAGAAATACAGTCCCCAATCCCTCTCCCTTTGACAAAACCATGCTATGCATTTGAAATCAGAGATGGAAGAAGGGAAGCAAGTCTATTGGATAGGATCTTAGTGAAGACTTTGTATAAAAAATTGCATAGACTTATGGGCCTGAACTCTGAGAAAGAACAGGGCTTCAACACTTTTGGAATCAAAACGAGGAGTGTGGGGTTGACCGATCTTGGGACCACTCCCCCACTTAAGAAAAAGTTAACCGTTTCTAACATGTCATGTTTAATAATATCCCATGCAACTTGAAAGAATCTACCAGAGAAACCATCAGTTCCAAGGGCGCTTTCCACAGAGATAGAAAGCACAACCTATTTAACTTCAATTAAGGTGGCAGCCATAGTCAAATTCTCGTTGTCAGTTGGTCCAACAAGCTCAGGAATGACCCCAAATAACTCTTCATCAAGGGTATGGTTTTTAGACTTGTACAATTTAGTAAAGAAAGTGACAGCCTGATGAGAAATCTCCTCCTCAGAGCTACAAGAAAGTCATTTATTTGTTATGGGTAGAAGCGAACAATTGGTATGTGAAGGATGGAAGTAAATATAGAGATGTGGTTGAGAGAAAAGGAGGTTAGGAAACCAAAAGTTTAAAAATGGAGATGTGTATGATTAATGTCACAAATGTTTGGTATTTAAATTCAATGGTGATCTTGGCATTTTCAAAATTTTGGAGGACAAAAGTGTCTAAAAAATGTTTTTCATATATGTTGATATTTTATAGTAGTATAGATATAGATATTTTCTTAATAAAATCCGGAGTAACCTAAGTATAATTATTATGGTTTTAAACTCATGTTTCTCATTTTATGGGAATCAGGGTGTGACACACACTAGATATTGATATATGCTTAAATATTGCTTTAAATCTCGATCATTGAATATTATGATTATGTTCAAACCTTTGTTCTAGTCAAAATGAAGTCCTTGTTCAAAGTGTAAATAAAACATATATTTGTACTAGCAATGCGCCACGTGACTAATTTTTTTAAAAAAAATTTAATAAATAATTATTTGGTATATATGTTTGAATTAAATATCATCTCAATTTTACCAAATTTATTTTTTCATTGCTCATGCTCCATTATAGAATTTTTGAAAATTTTGTATATTTTCAAGATTGGTTATTCTAACTTTAAGAAAAATGATCGGTTATTATTTGATATAACATAGTTTAAAAAGTTTACTATAACTAAAAAATTATATAAAACTATATATACATTATTTTTTTCTTAAAAATAAAATGTTTTTGATGAAAAATAAAATATACATACTTAGTCATAATATTATCTTTATAAATGAGATGAGTAATATTATATTAATGGAGTTTTTGAAGGTTTTTTTTTAATATTTTGTTAAAAGTTATAATAATGCATATATTTTTGAAGAGTAATATAATAAGTCAAAAAGTTTCATAAAAATTGACATTTATAAATAAAGAATAAATAATTAAAAAATTAATTTGATTAAGATTTTACTTATAAATCATTTAATAAAATAAAAATAATTATCAATAAATTAATCATATTGGAACCTTAAGATTATCTAGGTCAATTGTGATAAAATTTAATATACAATGCTATAATCTATATAATAAAGTAGAGTTGAGTTTGAATCCAAGAGACAGAGTGGTTCAGATCGTTTTGAGACAAAACATAAGCACATCCGACGGACAATGTAATCTCAACATAAAAGACGGTTCAGATCATTTCAAAAATTTTGATCTAACGGTATATTGTGATTACCGAAATTAGTTTCCCCGCCCAACAAAATTCCTGTTTTAATTATAAGGGCTTTTTGCTTGACTGACGCCCAGTCTCCTCTGATTCCCCCATATCTTCCCCTAAAATCTCTCTCAGAATCCTTCTCAATCTCATCCTCTGCCTTCCAAACTCATCCCCCAAAATCTTCCCCTACTCATCCCCAAAATCTCCAAAATCTCTCATGCCCAGCTCATCCCCAAAATCTCTTACGCCGAGGTATCTCAGTAATTGCTCTAACAATTTGTCTCCTCCCTTTCTCTCTGGAGTCCAACTCCGGCGACCCAAATATTCCAACATTCACCACAACTCTCACCATGCTTTTCCTAAACCCTATTTTTTTTTTTTTTGAAAAAAAGGAGGATATATTGAAATGAGCAGAAATTACAAGAAGCAAGGAAGCCGGGCTTTAACAAAAACAAGGAAGCCAATGTGGCATAAACCATCAAAAAAGAAAAGGACATAAAATGGGACATGAAGGCCAGCAAAAGCCAGCTGAGAGTCCAGCTGAAGATCCAGAAAATTCAGCTGGAGGAAAGCTGGAAACCCAAGAGACAGCAACTGCGAGATGATGAAAACCATGAGGAATGAACATAAGCCCAGAACCAACACAGCAACTGAGAGCCCGCTGAGAACAAATCCCCAGCTGACTGCCGAAGGAAGCAGCAACAGAGAAACCCACAGCAGCAGACCAATAGCCAGCGTCAAGCAGATGAAAGAACCGCTGAGAGACCATGAGAAAATCAGCAAAACCAGCTGAAGAAAAAGAGACCAGAGGTGGCCAGCAGCAGCGACAAGAAAGCTGTGCACATGAACCATTGACACCATCAAAACAGCACAGCAATCACAGCAGCAAGTGGAGCCCATAAGAACCAGCAGAGAACCACAAAGAAATCATGGAAAACCAGCTGGAAACCCGTTGAGACCAGCTGGAAATCCAGCTGAAAACCCTCTGAGCAGAACCGTGGAAAGCCTTCAATGTTTACCAAAGATAAAGTCTGATAAAACCAGCTGTAGCAACAAAATGAGCCACGATCCCCAGCTGAAATCAGCACAAAATCCAGCTGAGATCCAGAAAAAACCAGCTGAAAGAGCCCATCAGTAGCCGCAAACAGGCTGTCCATGTGAACAGTAGCGTGAACAGTGTGTCATGACCAAAACCAGTTGAAAACCATCTGAAAATCACCCACAGCAGCTGCAATATCAGTAGAGGTCAGCTGAGAAAAACCGCCAGCAGCAGGAAGCAGACTGTTCACGTGAACAGTCGCGTGAATAGTACTCCCTGACCAAAAACAGCAAAAAAGCCACCGGAATGTCCCCCCAGCTGCATTTAATGTACAAATGTTGCCTAAGCTTCCCAGCAGGGTAAAGGAAGCAAACACACCAGCTGCGAGAAGCCAAGCAATGAGAAACAAAAGCCCCAGCCCGATTGGATGATTCATAAGTAAAAACCAAAGAATCAAAAATTAGTAAACTTTTTCCTTGACGTTTTAACACCTTGTTGATCCTGGATCTGAATTAATTTTGCCCGGAAAGGAATCTTCAAATCACGTGTGAAATCCGAAGAGGCACCCTCCAAAACAGCAAGGTTTGCAAGACAGTCAGCTAAGCAATTTGCTTCCCTGTATACATGAGCCAAACTAAAATTCATGCCCTTCAATAACTCCATGATCTCATCACAAATCTTCCAAAACTTCCGGGCCCTCATGTGCCCTTTCATCACCATTTGGACCATCACCGCTGAATTAGTTTCAATCAGAAGGCCACAGTCTAACAGCCCATAACTTCTAAACAACAATAAACCATCCTTGAGTGCATAAAGCTCAACCTCCATGTTTGAACAAACCTCATAGAAAAAAGAAGCAGCCAAGACAATGTGCCCCCATTCATTCCTTACCACAGCTCCAGCCCCAGCTCTTCCAGGATTTCCTTTCGATGCCCCATCCACATTTAGCTTTAAAAAACCGGAGGGAGGAGGGGACCAGTTAATCCAAATAATTTTTGGTTCCAGTTCCTGCCTCATCTCCACCTTTAAGGCCCTCAAAAGATCCATCCCCATCATGCCTTCCTTTGCCTTGGGACGAGTACCATAAGCCCGAAGACGCAAAGAGGAGCAAATATCAAGAAAAACAGCATGGGCCGAAAGTGAGATATCTTCATAGACTCTTCTGCATCGCTCCCTCCATAGTCTCTAAAAGACCACCAGTGAAGTACCTCTTAATAGGTTATTGCTAACAGAGTTTTTTTTTTAAATTCTGATCAACCTCATCATACGAACCATGGGAGATTCAGCCGAGAAAATCTGAAATCCACAAAAGGCAGCAAGCTTCCCCCAAACCTCTTTAGTAAAGTTGCATTGTGTGAATAGGTGAGTCGTAGTTTCCACTTCCTGATGGCATAGAGGGCATCTACTGGCCAATTCAACGCCAATACGTTGGAAATTTGAGTCCACCACCACAGCTTTCATATGTATCTTCCATCCCAGCAGTTTTGCACTTGGAAAGACAGATTGGTTCTAGATCGCAGAGGTTATAGGCACAGGGTTATTTGAAGTTCTCACCGCCTGCCAAGCTGATTTGACATTGAACTCTCCCGACTCGGTTAATTTCCATATCAATCGATCTTCTTTGCCACATAAACGAATCCCAGAGTTATGGATTTCGTGCTTTAATTGCTCAGAAATCTGGACTCCCAATAACTGCCACTACCAGTCCCCTCTTGCCCATATCGCATCTAGACTTAGAAAGCTCGAGGGGGAGACATCGTGCCTGAGCAATAAAGGGCCAGATCCTGCCCAGTTCGTGCACCAAAAATCCACAGACTTCCCGTTTCCCACCAAAACCTAGGAGTTCTCCATAACCAAGCAAAAGAAAGGTTGCAGCATTCGAAATGTACGAGCTTTTGCAGTGCCCAGACATCATAACATGTGTTTGCCTTTTAAGAATTTTGCTCTAAACATGTTCGCCCAAAGAGAGTCACCCTTTAGAATTCCCCATACCTGCTTCCATCGAAAAGCAGTTTGGATGTCCTCAAATTTACGAATTCCAAGCCCCCCTCTTGCTTGGGTCTTAAAATATCTTGAAACTCAATGCCTTTTCCTCTCCCCCATCCTGCCTGACCAAATAAAGGAGGCCATCAAAGACTTCAACTTGACCAGGATGCCTTTGGGCACCCTAAGACAAGAGAGCAAGTGAATAGGGACTGCACTGAGGACCGATTGAACCAATACAATTCTGCCCATGTTTGATAGCAAGCATGCATACCACCCTTCCAATTTAGCCTTGAATTTTAGAACCACTTCCTCAAAATCCCGGAGTTTATATCTTCCTCTAATTATGGGGCAGCCTAGGTAGGTGAAGGGGCATTGTTTAATTGGAATTTGTGCAATTTTGGAAAGTGTCATTCTCCTGACCAGGGGAATTTGGAGGAGCAGATTAAGGAACTTTTCTGCTTGCTTATTCTCTGACCAGAGCACTCCTCGTATCTTGCCAAAAATCTCACCATTTGTTCCATGGATAGTTTATTCCCCCTAAGAAACAACAGAGTGTCATCTGCAAAAAGAGGATGAGAAATAAGAAGAGCACCCCTCCCTGCATGAAAAGCCTTGATTCTGCCTTCACCATACAGCTTCATCAAGCCCCTGCTTAACACTTCCTTGGCCAAAATAAAGAGAGCAGGTGAGATTGGGCCACCTTGTCTCAACCCTCTAGACGAAGGAAAATTGCCAAATCTTTTCCCATTCAAGCAGACCGAGAAGAATTGGTTCTTTAGGAAGTTACCAATGATGGAAACAAATAAGTTTGAAAAACCAAAACAGCCCAAACTTCTTTCCAAAAAGTCCCACACCAATGCGGTCATATGCCTTCATCATATCCAATTTAAGAATCACGTTGCCTGCTTCGACTTTTCTATCAAGCTCGCCCACCATTAACTGTGCTAAAGAAATACAATCCCCAATCCCTCTCCCTTTGACAAAACCGTGTTTTGCATTTGAGATCAGAGACGGAATGAGAGCCACAAGTCTATTGGATAGGACCTTCGTGAAGACTTTGTACAAAAATTGCATAGGCTTATGGCCTAAAGTCTGTGAAAGAGCAAGGCTTCATCACTTTTGGAATCAAACACAAGGAGTGTGGAGTTAACAGATCTTGGAATCACTCCCCCACTCAAGAAAAAATTAACCGCCTCCAAAAGGTCGCTTTTAACAATATCCCATGCTACTTGAAAGAATCTACCAGAAAAACCGTCAGCGCCAGGGATGCTTTCCACAGACATAGAAAAGACAACCTGTTTCACTTCGGTTAAGGTAGCAGTCATAGTCAAGATCTCGTTAGCCGCTGGTCCAACAAGTTTAGGAATAACCCCAAATAGCTCTTCATCAAGCCCATGGTCCTCTGACATGTACAGTTTAGCAAAAAAGGTTGTGGCCTGTTGAGAGATCTCTCCTCTCAGAGTCACACCATTCACCATCTTCACCTTTAATCCTCATCAGTCTGTTCCTCACAGCCTTCCCTTTGGCCAAAGCATGAAAGAACTGGTATTCCTCTCCC